GGTTCCTGTAACTCGGAACCAATTTTCCACTAGGAAACAATGTTATAAATGGTGGATTGGTTCCTGATCCAAGGCCAGATAGCCTATTTTCACCAAAAATAACCCAGAATTTTGTACTAACACAATCATAGATAAGTAATATAGCTATATTAATGTATTTATATTGTAAATAGCAATCATATTGATTTGGAAGGACTTCTTTGAGCTGACTTTGCTGGACTTTTTGAAGGGCTCTTGGCTGGAGTCTTCTTAGGAGTCTTGGCTTCAGGTTTTTCTGGAGTCTTGTCTGCTTTTTTAGAGAAAGCGTCCAGGGAAGTTTGGACAGATGTTCTCCAGAGAGATGGGCAACACAGCGAACTTGTTCGCTCGCGTGGCATTGCATTCGATCAAGTGTTGTAAAGTCGAAACTGAAGTCAGAAAGTTGAAACAGGGTGTCAATTTATAAATGTTGTAAATGTGAAACGCTGCGATTTGAAACATTGTAAATTGAGGACTGCCTGTAAAAATAAAAAAGGGCAGAAAAAAAGAAAAAAACAAACAAACCATAAATCAAGAGATTATCTCCACCTTTTCTTCCAGGTATTTCCAACAAACCACTGGCTTTACTTCATTCTTATTTGGATTCTGTTCAACCCAGACTTTTATGCCAGGCCATCATCATAATACTTCATCATTCTGTAATGTCTACATCATGCTGTAGCATCTAACTATTGATGGATTGTGCCTCAAATAGCTCACTTGTAGCCAAGCTTCCTTACCTGCTAGAAGCCATTTAACTGCATTGTTCAACTGACAAATCAGAGACTAGGAGTTGTGTCATTTGCCTAATGAAGGCACAGCAACTTATGTCTTTCCAGTATCTCCTCTAATGGACCTTTATGCATATCGAAAAGGATAGAAGATAAAATAGAAGAGTCTTTGGGAAAAACTAGCAATCACATAAGACTACTTAAACATCATCTTAGAGAGAAAACTCTTTTTTCTCTCTGTAGGATCCATAGGTCATGATAAAATCCATAGATATATGAAAACTCTAGTATCAGTGGGAATTTATAAAGCTAAAATAATTATATCCAAATTTAAAACCAGCCTGATGGTGATCCAGGGAATCTGAAAACACTAAGTTTGGCACTGGATTTTCTAAAATGCTTAAGCAACATGAGAGTCAATGTCGATTATCTTCTTAAATTCATCAGAACCTTTTGAAAATCCTACAGTTTATATACTTCATGTATAGAAGATACAGTTTTATATATAATGGTATTCATCACAAAGGATCTCAAGAAATGTGCACATTAAAAGCATAGCTGTATTCAGAACTAAAGTGAAGCTACCTGTGAGATGAAATGGAAAAACGGTTTACCTGCACCACAGTAAAACTACATTAAGGATATGACAGGAAGGGAGGAATAATAAATCCATTTGAAAATGCAGGGGGAATGTGTAACATAATCTAATCTGGAATCTAGTCTATTCTGCCAAACATTACTAAGGATGTTTCTTGACTGGAAATGGCCAATGCATCAGATTTAAATTTCACATAAGAGATTTCGAACAGCATCACAGAATCCCATGTAACTACTCTGATGCATTTATTCCAGAGACAGAAGTACTCACCCAAGTACTGAGCCACCTGAAGATTGCAGCTGCAAATAGCATGGTTTTACACAGAATGACATTTTCCATTGGCAACCCTTGTAATGTACCTAGCAGATCAGAAATTTAAATAGCTATCAATTTCTGATCTCAACAGTATTTAAAAACTCTTGAGAGTACTTAATCATAGTGATTGACTTAATGGCCCTTGCCAAGTCACTTTCATCCTTGACCAGTACCCAGAGGATAATTAGACTTTGTCCACGTGAGAAAGAAAAGAAAAGAGGAATGGAAGAAAGGAAGGAAGAAAAAGAAGCACCTGTCAAGTTTAAAGAGGTAACACAATCCATGCACACAGAATCATCCAAAGAAGTATCTGAGCAATGCCAACCATTCAACATCAAAATGTTCCAAATCAAAAATATACACTGGATCCCTTGTCGGTTTTTATATTTAGTGTTGTTTTAATTAAATATGTACATCACCTCCTAGAATCCAGAGATAATATTTTCAAAATGACCTAAGTCTCATTTTTAAAGTGACTACAACACTGAGGAGCAAACATATGGCTAAATTTAATCTTAAATCATTGATATGTAGGACACGCTTACACTGCCTCAGGTGCACTGCTAAAAAGTATGCCCTACCTGACCACTCCCATTCAGTGTACACCGAAGAAATCAGGCAGTATAGCCCATCTAAATATCCGGGCCTTAGGCAAATTTCTCACATTCCCTGTAAGTGATTATAATATTCTCTCAGAATGTTCCAGTGAGTGCACTTAGGGTGAACCAAATACAAGAGCTGAAAGATGTTTTGCAAAACTAACAGCAAAATTTTGTCCCAAGCAAGAAGGAGGGGGGGAAAAAGAGTATTGAAACTGAACTCAGGAGTGCCGTTCTGAAAGCAGAAGTCTACCTTCAGTTACGAAACACTCTCTTGAAAAGCAGAATCCCACAAAAAAAGTCATTTTTTTAAGAGCTACATATGCTAATTTCTTTAAAGAGAACAGTGAAGATGACAGATTTCATCCACCCCCTACTACCTCATAAAGGGGACTGTTGAAACCCCATCCTAAAGTTGATGGACTTGTAAGGTTCTAACTTTGCACTGCCCTCATCACCAATACCAAGGTGATATCTCATTAAATCAATTCCACAACCATTGCAGAAGAGAGTAACAGGCCTATAAAGTTTCAAGTATATCACTCTCCATCCAAGATCGACATGTGTCCAAGTCCGAGAAGAGTGTAAATAATAAGCCTTTAGGAAGTATGTATCTTTGCATCCTCTCCAGTAAATGGACCTGCTTGTATTTGAAGAGGCCATTAGTATCGTGCAACTTTTGGAAATAAATCTACTGTTTCCTTATCTCCAATGCATGCAGTTCTTTTAGTGGAAAAATTCAGATCCCCTCGCTCAGAGCCAAACTCTACCAGTTGTCACTGAGGTCAGTGGAACAGCTCAGAAATGTAAACGAGAGTATGTGCAGCACTGCATATCCATACATAGAGGAGCAAAAAGACTCACATTTATATCACACATATCATTATGGAGAAGCCTTTTCATACAGATAAGCAGAAATACTTTCCAAATCCACAGGCACAATGTAGACAGAGAAAAGCATGGGTTCATACAGCCACTTGTTGAAAACCTTCCTCTGCACTCCAACATATGTTCAAGACACACACAAATCTCAAAACACACAGAAGTGTGCATATCACAAACAAATATGCATGCAAACTGAGTGCACAAATAAATCTCTGCATTCATGTCTCCATCACACAGCTGTGCTAGCAAAAGCTTCACGCACACAAAGACTTGCCTACGTTCTGGATGCTTCATGCACAAAAAACACAGCAGCAGGTGACACTCATGGTGTACCTACCTCCACACATGTTGCATGTACACTGGCCCTCCCACACACACTGCATGTACACAGGTCCTCGCACACACACATTACATGTACACTGGCCCTCCCACACACATTGCATGTACACAGGCGTGCACACACACATTGCATGTACACAGGCCTTCCTACACACACTGCATGTACACAGGTGCACACACACAAACACTGCATGTACACAGGCCCTCCCACACATGCTGCATGTACACAGGTGCACACACACACATTGCATGTACACAGGCCTTCCTACACACACTGCATGTACACAGGCCCTCCCACACATGCTGCATGTACACAGGCGCACGCACACACATTGCACATACACAGGCCTTCCTACACACACTGCATGTACATAGGCGCGTGCACGCATGCACACACACACACACACACACACACACACACACACACACACACGTTACATGTACACATGCCCTCCCACACACACTGCATGTCCACTGGCTCTCCCACACGCACGGCCAACACCGTGCTCACGCACGTGTGCAAAGTCTCCCCCCGTGTGAGGATGCGGCGGCTGCGCGGCAATCCCCCCGCTGTGGTGGCGGCTGAGGGCGCCCCCATCCCCGCCCCTGCACGGGCATCCCCCGGCCCGTCCCGCGCGGGTGTCTGGGGTCCAGCACGAGGCCGAGGCGCAGCGAAGGGGCTGCCGTGCCCCCGGGGTGCTGTGGAGGAGCCTCCGGCGGGACGCGCTCCCGTGCAGCACGTCTGTCGCCCCCGCCCCCCCCCCCCG